GCCGCTGGGGAGGGAGGGATCCCGCCGGTTGCCGGGGCTCCGCGGTTTTCCCAGGCCGCTGCTCCAGCCAGGGCCATCCCCAGCCCTGGGCAGCGCTGCCCGCCCCCGGCCGGGCTGCGGAGGGCGGCGGTGGACAGAGAGCTGCCGGGCAGGGAGCTCCTGGCCCCGGGTCTCCCCGTCAGGAAGCGACCTAAGCTCAGCGCTGCCGCGCCGGTGCCGAGTAGCGGCCCTGTGCTCGGCAGGAGGAGGGGAAGAGCTGAAGCGGACAGCTGTTGATCTGAAAAACAGGGGTTTTGCCCGTAACAGCCGTCAGACAGCAGCGAGGAAAGGTTGCTGCCATGTGCTTAAACTTCCCTAAACCTCACTTCGTTATCTGAGTGAAATCCTTTGAAAAATTAATTTGCTAATCGGCTGTAGCTAATTGCTCTGTAGTGATAACACAGTTACTGCCGTTAAGGCTGTGTACTTAAAGGCCACAGATACTCGAAGCCAGAGGTAAATGTTGCTCCGGTCGCTGCCCAGCAGCAGCCGAGCCCTCGTTCCCCGGCGCTGCGGGATTGGCTCCGGTACCCGACCTGATCCAGAGCAGGGGCATTGCTCATGGACGTGTCTGAAGGGCCATAAGCTGAACAACGCGAAATAGACTTGATGATAAAGTAGTATTTGATGATATTTTGCTATTTCTGTGTGTTATTATATTTACTTGGATTAAAAGTTGTAGCTACGGTGTTTTCACCAGAAGAGCAACAGGTGCCGCTGGCAGATTAGATTATTTGTATCCCTTTAATCAAAGGCTTCAATGCTTATCCTAAATTAACATTACAGTGTTTTACATAGCTTAATTATACTTTGGCGGCTCTTGCCTAACATGTACGCTATTGTTTAAAAAAAGCCTCAACGCCAGAAGCGCCGCAGCTCGGCTGCATGTGGGGTTTCAGCTGCCTCTTCTCTCCCTTCCGCGAACCGGGGAGTCTTTCGGTACAGCCATCGTCAAGAGTTAATCCCCATTTACTCTTTGTATTTAAGCATCACCCCACTGATTGTGAACTAAATTGACATAGCAGGTGTTAATTGAGTGCTAATTTATTTAAATTCCTTCTGTTGAAAGTGATTAACGGAGGAGGTGTGCTCCTGGTTGTTGGAGAGGTTATTTGCTTTTTAAGTTTAAAAAAAAAACCAAAAATCTGGTTTGCACTGAGAGAGTTGAGTATTTAAAAAAAGGTAACTGTAGCACGATCGCAGCCTATAGGAAGCTGCGAGCATGTTAAAGGTCAGGCTCTGCTCAGCAGGCTCCCTGCCTGCCCATCGGCTTCAGTGTGGTGCAGTGAGCTTGTTTCGGAACTGGAGTTGGCTGGAAGGCATCAATTTAAGGACAGCTTTAGGCACTTAAAAGGCTGGACACAACTGGGATGACTTGTGTGAAAGAGAAGGAACAGAAAAACGTGGGATCCAGAAGGTAGGAAAAACCTGAAAGAACGAGAAGCTGAACTGATAAAGGCAGAGGAATAAATTTCATAGCCTGTGCTAGGGTAACTTAATAGTGCTCTGAGCAGCTCTGCGAGATGTTAGCATCCAGCTTCCCTGCCCTGCCTCAGTTTACTTTCTATGAATGGTGACACGTTGTGTCTGATCAGATTCTCCTAGTTGCTTGAATAGTATAGCAACACGTCTAGGAAAAAGTTAATCTTTTGCTTATTTATTCAGAAATCTTAAAAGCTACCTAAAAGTATACCTGGCAGTAGTGCCTGAAGCCTCTTCTTTTGTGTGGATTAAGTTCCTTTAATAAAGTTAATAATCAGTATAGATTTTGTTCTGCTTCTTTAAGGCTGTTGAGAGGAACGCTGTAAGCTGCAGATATAACGGGCTCAGAAGGGAGCAGTTGGTAGTGGCAGGCTTCTAGAATTGCATTTTCTAGCTCTTGTAGAGTGGCTGTTGCTAAGCAGTAATTTGGAGAAATATGAGTGCAGGCCCTTCATTCATTTTTTGGTAGTTGTTCCCAGTAATAGCTTTGTTCCGTCATCGCTCTCTTTGTGAGTATTTTTGTCCTTGGTAATACAGTTGCAACCACATATACTACATGAGAGAGCTATATGGCTAAATCTGTCTGCCAAGACAGTTACTGTACAGCCAGTCATTAGAGGTGATCTCTTAGTTTGAGGTAACAGCAACATTTGCAATGTAGAGTCCCATTCATAATGATGTTTTAAAACACATGACAAGAAGGCTGTGAGTTTTAAAGATACTTAAATGCTCATTGATGGATATTTATAGAAATTTTAACAACTTTCTTTCTGTATCTTGAGACATGTAAATGCCTTCCAAGATCTGGTTCAACATTGCTCTTCTGCAGCTCTACACACTAGATAATGTTTTATAGAAACCAAATTTTTAGAAGCTATTACATAGCTGATTTTGATGGTATGTTATATCCCTTTATGCAGGATACCAGGCACTGCATTTCAAACTAACCAGAAGTTTAAAAATAAAACCCCAACCACAGCTCACTGGTACTGCTGCAAGCAATAAACTTTACAAGTAGTCATCCTAAGCAGCAAGTATAATCTGAAAAAGTCTACCCACTGGTTGCTTGTTAGCAATGCCAAAATATGGGCTTCCTGCTGCCTTTCAGAAATCTGGAGAGATTGGAAAACTAGTCCTGTTCTAAAAGGACAGCTGGCAAATACGTCCTACTGCCCCCATTCCTTCTAAGAGGTAATTATGCCAGAGATATTATAAAAGGGTTTCATTTTCACTCAGCAGGCAATTAACAGTTTGCTCTTGTTTAAAAAAATCATCACATAAAGATTACAAGCGATGCAGTGTTGGTCTGTGTTAGATACTCCCAAGCAAAGGTGTTTGGACCTGGGGTAGTTGAGTGTGAGTTGACTTGAACATGGTGCTGCATTTGCACGCTTGGCTTGTGATGTTTGGAGGCAAGAGCCCCTGCACAGCTTCATGGCAGGCTGCAGGCAAGCCCTTCCTCCACTGCTTTGTGGTGTTGCATTCTCCTGAAGTCTGTGCAAGTTAACTTCAGCCAGGGTTTTGATTCTGCAGCGGGCTCTGCATGGGGTCCCACCTGATTTCCCTGGAGCAAGTCTGGATTTCATGGAAGGGCTTGAAGCTAAACTGAGAGCCTTCTCTTGGTAAACTGCAGGTCATTGAAGCAGACCCAGTTTTACGCAGTGATTTTGCAAAAAACATCTTGTGCATGGAGAAATCTATACTGAAATGTGATCTCTCCTGTAGTGAATTTGGAGGAGGGTGTGCAGAATTGTTAAAATAACTGATTTAGTTAAAGTGGCTGAGTACATCCACTGGGTACATCCACAAATAATCTACAGCAGAAAGAATGCTTTTGGTTATGGACAGCCCTTTACACACAATGTAACAGGATTGTTGCAGTGCAATGCTGGCATTTGGCTGAGGGAGGAGGCACACGTCTGCCTCGTAGCTCTCCCCTTCTCAAACAGGGCTGAGGAAACTCCTCTGTAGTGCTGGGCTTGGATCTTTTAATTGTCACCATGTGAGATCTTCGTTATGCGATAAACACCTGAGAAACACTACAAAAATCTGGCATGGAGTTGCTAAGGCGTGCGCTCTAACTTGTTTTGTTTCTCTGGAACAATTAAACAGAAGAATAATGCACTAAGTACAAAGCTGCTTGAGATCTGCATTTGGGGTGGAAATTGGATTAAGTCTTGTTTTAAGAGGGAACATTTTGTTCTTGGTGGAAAATCCCCACCCCCTGAGCAGGGAATGTCCCTGCTGTGGCATGGGACAGTTTTCATTCTATCCAGTGGGTCAGTGGCTCAGTACTTTTCCTCCACAGAGTGTTTTGCAGGTACAATCTGCACCATGCATACAGGACCTCAAGTTCTAGGGCTGTCTTGCAGAATGGGAAACATGAGGTGATGCCACTTGGCCAAGGCTACAGAGGAAAGTGGTGGCAACAGAGTTGTACCTTGAAATTTCCCAGGTACTGTGATCTTTTCCTCAGGCTCTGCTGTGGAGCCAAAGGTCTTCTAGAGGCTAATTATTTGGGGTGATGCTTTTACAGTTATTTCAAGATAAGCACTTCTGAAAATGCCATTGGGCACTTACCTGAGCCTTTAGATGGTTAGGTACTTTGACAAATTGAGCCTGCTGTTACACATTCCTGTTGTCATTTAGGCAAACAGCTTAGGTTTCTGCATGTGCACATTTCCCTATTAGGGTATGGGGCATGGGGGCTTTGCAGTTGTATTTACAGGGTCTCTAGAAAGTTCATCCTCTCTAATTATGGTGTAAAACTAACTCAGGGATGTGACTTTTCTCTTTGTCTTACCGCAGAGGTGAAGCCTGAGGTGGATTCTCATAAACTCCATGAAAATCTTCAGCTTCACTCTTGGTGTTCAACTGGCTGAAGTTTGTGACTTCTGCTCGACTGCCCAGCCCTGGGGTCTCTGTGCTGTAGGACGGCAGCCCAGACGCATCTCGGTCCTTGGCTCCTGTTTGGTTTTTCCTAGGGAAGCTGGGTTTCTTCATGGTGACTTGCACAGCTGGCCTATGGGCAACACCTGCAAAGCTTTCCAGCTCTTTTGCTCCTGGAAGTAGAATTGTCCACAGATCAGGTAGAAAGCAGTGGTGGCTCACCAGTGCAAGACACTGCAGTAACTGGGATGTCTGTGCAGGTGGATGAGAGTTCAACCTGCCTCGGTTTTGTGTAGACCAAAGCCTGCACAGCTGCACTCGCCAAACCTGACTTTTCACCAGGACTGATGAGCTTTGGTTTACATGCAAAACGGATGTTTGGAGATGGCTTTCAGCACAAGCCAGACAAGTCATGTTACAATAAACAAGGTATAGATACAGCCAGTGTGTTGGGCTGAGCTGGAATCCCTAAAGGGATGAAGCTCAGGGATGAGGCTCCTCTGTGAGAGGCAACATCATCTCCACCTTGTCATCCTTGACCCAGGGGGAAGAGGGGCCAAAATCAGAAATGCAGAACCACTTGCATCCATCTTTGAGAGATACCCAGACAGACTGCATTTTTTGGGCATTTCTCTTCTCTTGAGCTTTCAAAAGTGTTTGGGTTTGGCTTTTGCTTGGCAAATATCTGTGACTCTGCCTGATGCTGAGCAGCAATAAATCCTTTTCTGCATAATTGCCCAGCTCAGATATCCATGTACTTACCTGGGGAAACAGAGAGACGTGCACTGGATGCTGCAGATCCAAATTCATTTTCAGCAACACATTTAAATATTCCAGAGTCTTCTGGAAAAGCTTCTGTAATAACCAGGGTGCAGACTTCCTCTGAAACAACAAATTCAGGCATGCTGTTGTACCATAAAAGGCAAATGTTAACTTGCAGAAGGACTGCTACTTAATGATGGAGCTTGGCAGCAATAACATGCAAAACAGTGATTTAAAGGGCGTAGGAAGTCAAAGGATTCAGAAGGAACAAAGTTGAAGGAAGAATCTTTCTTCCTGTGACTTCAATGAAACAAGGCATGAAGTTTTTGCTAAATTCTGTCTTCTCTTGTACAAGTTTAAACCCCAGAAAAGTCTATGAGTCAGTATGGTTGATATGTTTTCCCTTAACATATAGGGTACTCTTCACTGACTGAATGTAAAAGAGACAATGCCTTTTTCCTTGCGTTGTGAAAAAAATCAGAGCCTTGCAGGTGCTTCTGTCAAAATTAAAAACTTGAAAGCTCTCAGCCTGACACTGAATGCTATCTTCTGGCTCCCCTTTGAACATTGTTGTTTTATCTTGGATGAGGTGGGAAAAACTTAAGTGTGGGGTAATTAACTGATGAGATGTCTAACAAAAATTGCTTAGTGTACTTACCAGGAACTGCTGTTGAACAAGCCTCTGCTCAAAATAAGAGAGAAAAAAAATCAATTATTATAATGCCAGCATGGAAGAAAGACCTTCAGCCCTCACTCCCTTTCACACCTCAGCTGTCACGCTGGTTATAAAGGGACCATTTCCCTTTCTGTCCATCAAGAGAAACACCACCTGGGTAGAGGAAGCTCAGGTTTGGCTGGACCCTGATGATACAAACACCTCTCCACTGAGGTGTTATAGAAAGAGTTCCACTTTGGAGTTAGTTGCTGTGAATTTGGCCCATGGGACTTAAGACCCCGTGACCTGGAAGTGTGATAAATGGTCTCCTCCCATTGTGCCTGATCTGCTCACACACTGCCAGAGGAGACGCAGGCTGAGTACAGCAGTCTGTCACTTCAGAGCATTTCGTACTTTTAAACTTAACTCTGTACAATCTCCTAATTTTTATAGCAGTTCTTGCTCCTGTCTTTCCACTGTCCCAATAAAATTACTGTACGTCAGGCAGACGCAGTAATACCTACTTTTTCGTAGTATCCGGAAATCGGCAGAATCTACTATCTGATCATATTCTCTGTACCAGTGAACCTGTAAGGTGGATGTAGCTTGAATGCGACATTCAAACACCACTAATTGACCCTTCGTAGCTCTTATGTTTTGTAGACCCTGGAGGAGAAAAGAGTTGGTGTTAACTGGCTGACATAAGTATTTCCCTATTGAAGCAATTATTATGGAATGATACACCCTTCAGTGAAGATGATGATCTCATGCCCATATTTTTATTTCACTTACAATAGTTGATTTAATTCTAAATGCATTTGCAGTGGGTTGTGAGTGAAGATTTTTTTCACCTGTAGACCAGTGCTCATTAAAAGGCTTTAGCTTGCTTTTGCATTTCAATACAAATACAAATACAGGAAAATATATATGCAGGGGATATAAGGGAGGTTACTATGAGAGGTTTCCACTTCAGCCTCCTTTGTAGGAAATAAATGAGATGAATTCATGTAAGTGGTTCTGTCTGTCTGGATCATTTGCCAATTAAGATGTTAGTTTGATAGCATCACTAATGAAGCACATTGCATTTTTTGAATTGTAAATGAACCAATGTTCCAGCCTCAAAATACCTTCTGATGGAGCAAGAAAACTCAAAAATCTAATGCTGGTAGTTGCAGAACAAACGATGTCATTCACACAACCCGTTCTCTTTACCTTTGTAAAAAAGGGTGTGCTTCCATAGGCAGACCCGGTCAGGCTCACCGAGGGACTCTGCATCTATATAGCAAAGAAGAGTGATTTTTATGGCTTGCATTTCTCATATGCAGAAAGCTGGCTGTGTTACTGGCACTTTACTTTGAAACAGAAGAAGATGCCAGAGTGTTTTATCTGTTGTTCATGTGCCAGCCTAATAAATACCTGTGAAAAGTCTTCAGTCAAGTGCTCCAAGAGGAAATGCCTTCCTGAACTGTGAACACCAAGTTAGTGGGAAGAGGAGCTGATAACTGGTAAGTATTGCTGGTTTTATAGCCATAAGCCAATTGGCCACATCTTATAGTCTCTATGGTTGGTGTTGCTTGCCAGTAGTTGTCCCCTTCTACAGAGATCCCTACCTGGTTTAGTTGACCCCAGGTCTAGCTGCTCTTGGCTTGTATGGTGTACGTGGTAACTACAATGGAGCTGAAGGTAAAGAAATGAGCAGGAGCTGTCCTGACATTGTCCTTTAAAGCTCAGCTGACACAGAGGTTACAATAAGGTCTCTGATTAAGCAAGAAAAGCGTTTTTAAGATGATAAAATGCTTGTGGTGCAAGAGATCTCCTTGTTCCATGGTGGAGAGTTGATGTGCACTCATATGTGTCTCATTTAGCTTTTGCATATAAATATGCAACTGAAGTGCTTGGGTTTGTTTTGCTGTGGCACTGGTGTTTTTTATAATCTGTCTTTTCTCTGAAATAACCCAAGTTACCAGCTCTTTACCTCTCAGCCTCAGTTAAGATGCAAGTCTGTTTCTAGTCAGTCTGAGTTCCCCAGCTCTTGGCCAAGTATGTGCCCTAAAGCAACTTTCTGTTCTGAAGTGAACCTCTGGAGCAGACCAATGAATGGCAAAGCTGTGTGGCAGCCCCTCGAGCATTTCCAGCCTTCTCCCCTGCTCCATCAATTCTCTTAGCAATTTGGGCTAGGAAATATTCCAAGTCAGAAAACTCTTTTCCAGAGCTGGGGGTCCAGAACTTGATGACCCTTGCCTCTTAATCACTTGCTGAAAATGTGCTTGAGCCAGTCCTTGCAAAATATTTCTAAAACACTATAAATAATAGTTTTTTAAAAAGTGTGAGCTACTCTTTGAGGGTCAATAGATAATGGCTGAATTAAAGTGGTGCAACCCTGGTGGACTGAACGGCTGCTAGAGACTTCATTGGCTGAGGAACCAATGGTCAGCAAAACACTGGTGGCTTTCCACTTTTTCCTAGTGTGTGTGGGAAAAATAAACAGGGCAGGATGGAGACAGAGCCTTTAGGAGGTGGAATATACTTGACTCAACAGTGTTTGCACTTACTGTGACATTCCTCTGGCCCTACCAGGATGCTGAGACTTGCAAGGACCTTTAGCCTTGGATTTACCCTGGAAACCTGGAGAGACAAAACATAAATCAGGGTGTTTAGAACTATCTCCTTTTCCTTACAACACAGTGATGGCTCTGTTTTGTGAACTGAGTGTATGCTGGTTGGAAAGCAAGTGGTATGTGCCAAAGAAAATAGAAGCATCCTTAGCAGTTCAGAGCAGGCTCAAGTAATCTCCAGAGCATGGAGACATTTGACCAAGGTTATTGATACAGACTTTTGTAAAAGACCCAAGTCACCTATGAAACCTGGCTCCATAGTAGAGTTTGGGTTTTTCTGCATTAGGATGGAAAAGTCTGAAGAAAACCCTTGTTACTTTAGCTAAAGTGAAAATGGTACCTCTTAACCAGCTACCAAGTCCTTCTCACATAAGGACTGTAGCATACTGGATTGATGCAAAAAAATAGTTATTGGTAGCTCATTAATAGGTTTTGTCTCTGTTTCCCTTTTACTACAGCAAGAGAGACTTTTCTTGGGGCAGGCCAATGATCTCAGATTGCTGTTTCTCATGGGCACAGTTGCACCAGTTAAAATGCCAGTCTTGGTAAGTAAGTTGCAGCAGCAGCAGTGCTGTTGTCATGTGCTCTGCTTCTGCAGCGAACATTAAAGATGTGGCTCTGGACTGAGAGACAGCGATGTGTGTGAGAGTGGAAACAGTGCTCCTGCGTCTGCCTTGAGCTGCATCTGTGGGGAAAGAACTGAACCTGGCTTGTCAGCAAGGAGAAGGCATGGAAATGACTGAATTGCCTTTCTGCTGGCTGTAGGAGCAATGTACCTCCCCAGCTGATCTGCTTGGTGTGATACAATACTCCCGAGTCTCTGACTTGCATTCCCTGTCCACTAAGCAGGTAGTTCACCCACTCCCACTCTTAGCACCTACAGCATCAAATTCAGAGCCTTATTCTCCGTTGTCTGGTAGCTGATGTTGTCATGCTCTGCCAAGTCCTGTGTTTGTGCCTGTATGTGGCTGTGGTCATGCAAGTAGTAGTATCGGCAGACTGTTACAGGGCTGTTTGCTGTTTAGTGATCAGTTGCTAAGGCCACTGTAAGTGTCCTCTTGTGCGCTCCTCACACGTGAACCACTGCCTTTGTGGCAGTTTTGCTTTGTGTTTGCAGCCTGCTAGGAACCAGATGTGAGTGGTCATGGCTTGGCAGGTAAGTCTCTCCTTAAGGTTACAGTTGTTTCTCTGTACCCCAGCAGTGCTCTAGGTCAGAAAAATGCATGTGTTTCTTCGGGGTCTGCATCCTATGCTTGGTGCTCTTGTTCTGTATCTCGTTGTTCGGTACTTAGAGCATTCGTAAGATGATAGGTAGGGTAACTTCAAATCTGGGGTCTTCTACCTGACTGTCACCCTCTCTTGGAATCACATTTGTAGAGATGTAGATAGATGCATGGTGTAGAGATATGGAGGCACCTCAACAGACTGGGATTTATTACCTCAAACAGGTCAGTAGGCCACAAAAGCACTTATCTCATAAAATAAAATCAGTATATGCATCTGAACTCTTTAGAGACTTTGCATAGCTGTTTGGTCCAAATAATTTGTTTGACATCTGTTCTCTCTCTCTTGCTTTCTGTCACTCTTGAAAACAGTCATAACTGATTGTAGTGAAGAATATTTTGCAGTTCCGTTGGATTTGACTGATGTAGCCATGTGACAGCTGCAGGCAGCCCCGTGGGACGAGGGGCTGCTGTAAGGCAGTCGGACACCTCTGATGAGAACGTGTCACTGTGTATCTCATCCAGACCTGCAGTATGTTGCCCTTGGCCCTGATCCAGCAGAGCGGTTACACACATACTTGGACCACCTGTGGCCTTCATATTTCTGTCTGCTGCTCTTGAGTTATAAGTGTCTCTCGAGCAGTTCAAGGGTGGCTCCTGTCCAGGGTTATGTCACACGGCCATCAGCAGGGCTGTGCCGTGATGCAAGGGCTGCTGGATAATCCCAGGCCTTTGGACGTGGGAGGGGGGCATGGGAAGCGTCCTGGCCAATGTTATTGAGTTGCCCTGGGTTCCCGCTGCAAACCAGTCCTGGCTGCACTCCACCGCAGATTCCTGTGATGTTCTTTGCATTGCCTCCTTGCAGTCTATCAGGTCAGTATAGTCAGTTTTCAAGATCTGTAAAATTGGCTGATTTGTTTTTTTCTGTTTTTCCTCCAAAGAAGAAGGGCAGTGAAAAATCAGGTATGTACAGACCATGAAAGGAGTTCCTGGGCTGACATACCTGCTTTAAAGATCACCTCATATGACTAAAACAGCATTAGAAAAACTGCATTGGAGAATCTGTGCCCCCATTTTTCTGTACAATAAAAGACTTAATTCTCCTGTAGAGATGCCATCAGTCTTGCTTGTTCTGCTCTATCTCTGAGTACATGATCAGCCTGGAATCAGGCAAGACATGCACAGAATCAGGAGGCACCAACGTGCCCCTTAGTGAGAGTAAGGGGAATGGTCAGAGGTGGGACTGTGGCAGGCTGTGGTTTAAGATCAAAGCACAGTGAGGCACTCGGGGAAGTTTGCTCAGAAAGGTTGGACACACCTTGTCTGGAGTGAGAAGCAAGATCTTGGAGAGAGGTTGTTCTACTGATCTGAATAAGAGCAGCTAATGACGAGTTTCCAGCCACGATTGCGCAGGCACTGAGCTTCAGTACAGAACAGGAATAGCACTAGCTTATGGATTTGGGCTTGAGACAGTTACTTAGTTGCATGGCATTAGTTCCTCAATGCAATGGTTACTGCTAAGACCTTCTGCTGTATATGTGATGCTGCAGCTGCCTGTGCTCAAGGAAGGCTGGGCCAAGGAAGACTCTTGCCAAAACAGATGTTACTAGTTCGGTTGAGAGGAGACCCCATCGTTGGGAGGTCTGTTTGTGCTTGGCTGCTGTAGGTGTCTACTGCTTAAAGCAGAAGCCCTCCTTGAAACCCACATTGCTTGCAGCACCCTGGTTTGCAGACAAGCTCATCTTCACATGCATGGTTTATGGTAGATGCTCTGTTCTTATCTTATGTTCTGTGGTCCTTCCATTTCACAGTTTCCTTCTCATGAGTG